GTCGCTGACGATATCCGAGCCAAAAACCCACCCACCGATTTGGACGTGCGTCTCATCCGTGTCGGCGCTTGCATTTTTTTTTTTTAACTCCGTGAGATCATACTGGTGGAGCTCGAGCGGATTATTTTCAGCATGCGTAGCTCCTTGCAGCTCCGACAATGTATGCGTTCACATGCTGAAAGTCGGATTCCCCGCTGTCGGTGGTGTCATCTTGCATATTATCAATACCTAACTAAACATTCCCGACTCATGGGAAACATTCCATAGTTCATCCTCTGTTCAAGTCCGGCAATCCTTCAGACCCCGCAAACTTCCGGCCCGATGATGATGATTTGGAGTGACAGGGCGCACCAGCTGCGAGGCTATATCGCGCCCATTTCTTATTTGACTTCCTCAGTGTCGGGCGTTAAAAATCACCTGAAGGCCGGAGGCCGCAATAAACGAAAAGAGGCGAGAAGAGTCAAGCAAAGAGGACTCGTCACCTAAGACTGCTCTCAAAGAAAAACTTCCGGCCCATATCTCTAGTTCCTGTAATCACGAAAGTAGTTGAACGCATTGTCCATCAGCAGCTCTAGGTCTACTTCTCTCATATAAACCTCCTGGCATCCTCTGAGCACGGCTTTTACCCTCCGCACTCCACGGAAACCGCGTTGTTGTCCGTCAATGAACACATCCTGGCCGCCACCGATAGGGGGATTTGGCAATGCTATGCCTTCTCGATCTAAGTAAATGTTTCAACGTGATCGACCACGATACCACGATCTCCTGCAGTGGCGGCGGAACACCTTCAATTAAGGGGGGGGGGGGCACCTCCGACTTTTGGTCCTATTCTTTCCATGCAACGCCCATAGGACTAATGTTAAAATGTCAAAATCAAAGGGGGGCACGGTGCCCCCCTCCGTTCCGCCACCTATGGTCTTCTGACGCAAAAACTGATGTTGCACGGCATCGAAATTTCCTGGTTCGCCGCCTTTCTTCATGACCACACTCAGAGCGTGTCCTTGAGGGATGGGTCCGGACTATGGGCCCGGACGTAGAGTGCTGTCTCGGCCTCTTTCTAATGTCATGGGTGTTTTCCAAGGCTCTGCATTAGGGCCGCTGCTTTTTACCATCTATAACAGTCTACCACCACAGCTGTAGTAGCTGCCTCCCAACCGCTTAATCAGCTCTGTTAAAGCAATCAAGTACCTAGGTATTGGTAATATGCAAGATGACACCACCAAAACGGCGAAAGCAATTTTGCGCTGAAATTTCTGTGTGATTTGCGCCAAAAGTAAGGTGCCCATTTGTGCGAAAATTAAGCCCTTTTTATATAAAGCACATGTGCACATCTACCGATCAAGGCTATATGAACCAGACTGTTCCGGGTCCGGGTCCCAATACCTCAGCAGTCTTAGCGCACTATAGCTTCATGCCGTGAAACAAAGCTGGAGCCGTGATTTCCGGAGCCAAAAATTTGTGCCGATGTTAATATCGGCGGAGCAGTGTGCTCGAGGCTGGCGGGAGTCAGCGAGGGCCGGGCAGCAGAACAGCATGTGCTCAGGCACATCACCCTCTTCTCGGCACACGGCGCAGAGCGCCGCGGGGCACCGCTTGTCTGGGCACTGCTGGCACGCCGCGGAGTGGAGACAGCCGATTCGGTGCTGTATTGGAGCGAGCGGTCCCAGTGGCCCGCCCTCATCTCGTGCACCGAAACGGCATCCTCTCGGTCCTCTCCGGGGATAGGGAGCGGCGGCGTGCTCTCGACGAGTGGTTACTGGCTTGAATAGTGATTCTGAGCAGTTGTCACGCTCTGCGCCGCACAGGGCGATGCGAGGCCGTACAGTGAACCGCCCGGTCAGCGAGTGGGCGTTTGAGGGCAGGGCGGCCGCCTGTTCTGCCAGGTCGTCCGCACTCTCATTTCATTTCATTTCATTGATTTCCCTCGATACCGCAGTGGGCAGGAACCCACCGCGGTATTAACGACGCTTGGCGATGTTCAACAAGGTCTTCTTTACCTATCTCCATGCCGAGGGTTGAGGCCTCACCTGGGCGCCCGCTTCTCCACTGAGTTCGAGCGGCTCACCAGTTCGAGCACGCGGCGACCGGGGTGGGGACGTCTCGTCCTGAAACCTCTCCAGAGCCGCCCGCGCGGCGAATCTGCTGCTAGATCGACCGAAAAATTCGTCCGCCACCATGCGCTGAATTCGGCGCAGGCGAAGTTACACCGGACGTGCGCTGAAAATTTCGGCGCAATCCCGCCACTACACCGGACATATTCGGCAGAACATGTTTTTTTCCAGTCTGGGTCGAATTCGCATGGTCTGTGTGGTCAACCAGTGAAAGCCCAAGCAACTTCATAAAAATATAAAAAAAAAACTGGAAGCATGCTGATGAAAAAAAGCAGCCAGACATTTCGGGCCAAACAGTGCTGTTGGCAATATGCTGCACGACTAGACTGAGATCGTGTGGTAACAGTAAGATAACAATTTACAGTTCAGTAGGTGGAACTATGGTCATGAGTACCCAAGTATAGGAACGTTCCCATTTTTGGGAACGGAGTTCCCAAATATGGGAACGGGCGTTCCCATTTATGAGAACGGAAGGCAATTTTTCGGCCGTTCGCCCACTAAAACTCATTAGTGCATCACGTCTCAAAAAAGTGCACGCTAATTTAAGTATCAACTAAGTCTCTATAAAATTATCTTTAATCTGACCGTGGAACAAGGAAATTGACCGTCGAATGATATTTTTAATGATTTTTTGAAATGACGGAATGGTGAAAACATGAGTTATACTACATTTAACTTGCAATTTTAAGGAAAATGAAGCGTTTTTACATTTTGAGGTCAAGTATAATAATTTTCGCCTGGTTATGAAGTTTCATACCAGCGACACCAGATGCTGACATATGCAAGGGAACACGCGGACAGTCCCGGGGTAATATTGTTGACATTTGGTGTCGGGGCGCACGACCGCATGTAACGTCAGTGATTTTACCGAACTACTGTTGTAAACTCAGTTTCAGTGGTTTAAAATTATTCAGCTGTATTTTATCATCCCGGAAAGACATATTTTATTTGGATGCTAGCTGTTTAGAGTTGTTTTATAAGGAGCGTCATGAGCGTGGTTTTTGTCTTCCTTGTTTCTAAGCGTGATCGTTTTGGGGGAATTTCTCTTATATTGGTCGCTCTGTGTGGCTTATTTATAATTTTTATGCTGATTTCGATCATTCCTCGTGCCCATCCTACCAGGCCTTTTGCCACTTACACTCATCAAGAAAGGAAAAAACTAGATTTTCATTGGGACTAGGTGTTTTGAGGGTGTAACATATTCAGCGTTCCCATTTTTGGATACTTCCTTGTGCTCGTCAACTATCGGTGATAAACAGACAGGTGCTTGACATGTCTCCACCCTCGGCGCGGACGGTGGATATAGGTATGGAAGACTTTGTTGAACATCGCTGAGCGTTGTGAATTACGTAATCCTGCAGAGGGGGGCGTGCCCGCTGCGAGATCGACGGGAATAAAAGCGCAGAAGACCGGGCGAAACATGCGACGGTCTTGCCGGAAAGGTCATCTGATGATTGTTGCGTTAACAATAATTTGCGGCGTTGGACGTGATGCTTGTTAATGAAAAGAGCCCCTGAAAGGCGTCGGTGAAATCGTTCCCAATTTTGGGTACGCCGTTCCCATAATAAGGAACGCTTGCAGCGCCAGTGTACGAGAGCGTTCCCAAATTTGGGCTCGCGGCCCGGATGATGGACTGCTTTAGAAATAGGGGAACGATTTGAAACTACGATGGGCCTTACAATATCAAACTCTTTCCCAACAATATTGAGACAAATATCAGGCGGTTCACGATCGTTTTATATTTTTTGGACGTCATTTAACGGTTCTTTTTCTTGTTTTAAATAATGCCTACATGGCGTTCCCATATTTGGGTTTATCGTTCCCAAACATGGGAACGAAAATGCGTTCCCGAAAATGGGTACGCTTGACCATAGTTCCGCCTACTGAGTTGGTTAGTTGAGGCTGAAAACCTCTTCTATCTGATTTTTCTGCACCAGTGACTCGAAACAAAAATAAAATCAGATTCAACTTACCTTAAACTTCGTTTCCTTCCATCAGAGTCACATGAATTTTTCAAAATACTTTTCATAGCTTATCACATTTTCAGTCTCACAAAAAGCCCTACTATCGGTGCCGATCCAGCAGTTATTACTGCAATAACGGAGTGATTTGAATTAAAACACACCTCAACTTCCAGCAACACACACGACTCTAATTAATTTAAATGATCATGTTCTCCCAAATATGCTGACAGATGTACACGCAAACTGGAAGTACGTCATAGACTGGATATTTCATAAACGCACCTCAGCAATATTCAAGAAAATGCAGATAATCAGTTTTTAAAAAGTGTTTCAACAAGAAAGGGAAGGTAGCCAATATTTTTATTACTTTTTAGTTATTCCTCCAGTTCTGTGTTCAGATTCAAAGTAGTCTCAAGAAAAAGAACAAGCTGGTTATGGCGCATTTGCGCCAATTGATCAATTTTATCCAATAGCAAGCTGCTACTAAAAAATATACAATGATTTTTATTAAAACTCACACACTTTTACATACCAACTTTCAAATGAACCACAAAAAAAACAGTCGCAAAATCGCTATCTCGCAGCTACGATATATAGCGCTTGTGGAGTATAGCCTTGTGTGCAGTGTAGTACTCGGAAAGTGTAATGAATTATTTGCATCATACACATGAAGCTTTTGATATTGCTCTTGATATTTTGCTTTGAAGAAAAAATATGATTTTTATAACAAAATATGTGTTGATTAAAAAAAAACAAATGAAGACAGAAAAACAGCAATAATTTGTGCCCAGCAATGTTGAATGCCTAGATGTCGGATGTAACACGAACGGAAATTCGATTCAAATAATTTAGTCGTTGTATTTCTTTTTGGGCGCGTCCGAAGCACGCCAAATACGTCTAAAAATCAAATCTGCGCCATTGCTGTTTTGGTTTCTTGTTTTGGTGTTTACATGTGATTAGTTAGCATGTTTTTGTGATTTCTGTGTATTTTTCTTCTACGTATAATTAAGAGCACCAGTAACCTGCTAGAGTTACCATAGATGCAATACAATATAGGTACCATTCTCCTTTTTTAATGGCGCAAGAAACCCAACCTGTGTCGGTGTCAAATTTTTACCTGGCGGGAAGATCTTAGATTGAGATCGGAATATTTCGAAGGTCAAGGTAGGTGCCAATATACAATATATGCCTATATGTGTTTTGAATGTTATTTGTAATTTTCCTGCATCATTATAAAACCACATTGGTCACGCGTCGCCTGGATGCTGTTCGGTCACAGTTTTTTATCAGCATGCTGCGAGCATGCTGCTATTTCTTGGCTCCGCAATGGTCAAATTCACGTGGTCCATTCATTTGACCAATGAGAGGCTAAGAAGCGGCAGCAATAACTTCATTATATGGGAAACCCAACAGCATGCTGACAAAAAAAAAGCGACTGAACAGAGCTCTGCTCAGTTTCAGTGGTCAGGATTGGGATGCTCTCGAAAGACTGCTGAAGTGCCAACTCTGAGTCCAGTTGCTCCACTTCATTGTCAGGATGCTATCAATTGTCAACAGAATGTGACCTTTTCAAGATTATGGATTTTTTTTTAACGATAATATGGTTTTATTGGTACAAATTGACATAGCACATTGTGAATGATTCTCTCCATTATCCTAATAGAAGAACTCGCGTTAGAAACTTCACAATACGTTCGGCGGGTCGTCCCTATACCGCGCAGCCGCCGGGGACACCACGCACGCGCGAGAACAAATCAGCGGCGCGAGCCCAAAACCGGGTGATGGATGATGCCAGTTGTCAACTATCAGCATCCAGAATCCTGAAAATGTTGCACTGTCTCTGCCGTTGTGATGCTGTCAAAAGTTATTTGAATTATTTTGCTGATGGTATTCTTTCTAACTTAGTAGGAGAATGGGTGACAGTTTTGATTTATGCTGAATCTGAATGACTTTTTGGTGACTAGAATAATATTTTTTGTCAGATTTCATGTCAAAGGATTTTGAAATGCCAAAAATTTGGTAAAGGTAGCACTATCCTCAAAACCCAATAGGTATCAGTTTTCCCTGTATCAGTATTACCGAATACGGGAGCTTCTACACACAGCAGCATGGTGTCATGCGCTAATGTCTTAAGAGATATTACAGGCAATGAATGAGTTGAACATGTTTTGGATATGTGTATCTGTAGATTTCACCACAAATAGAGTGAAATTTTTAAAGCTTATTTTATTGTATCATTCAATGCCAGTGTTGCCTGCCCTCAGCACTGCTCCCAGTGCTGCCACTGGCAGCAGCCAGTGCTGAGCCATGGGAGCCTGATGGGTAGGAGTGGTGGAACATCAATCTGCCCCCAAGTGTACCTCAGGGTACATAAGGAAGAAAGCTGTTTTTCTCAAATATTTTTTATCATCATGATTTGAGTTGTATGTAGTAAATGCCTATGCAGTGGAATGTGAATAACATCCATTAATTGTGAATTTATTTATTAGCCCATATATGCATGCTGTGTTCTGTCAACAGGCTGGCTCAGCCAGTGTGGCCCGGCACCAGCCACCATGGACCACTCGAGAACCCAGGAGTGGGAGAAGCTGCGTGCCACAATAGCACAGTGGAATGACAACCGGCTGGACCTGTTCGAGCTCTCAGAGCCGGACCAGAAGCTCAACTTCCATGGCGTTATGAGGTAAGTCGTTTGCAGTCTTTCTGCGTGTTTGCAGGATTTTCTTGACTAACCTTTTGGGGTTTCTGGGACAGCCATAAACAATCCTTTGCTTATCTTGGAGAGTCAAATTGCAGGGAGTATGCTAGTAAATATGTAGTTCATCCTATTTGTTTCCATATTTGCTTATTTTTTAAAGGTAATTTGTCAATTTGACTCAAATATAGTGCAAATATTCGCTAACTTAGCTTCTAGTCAGTTCTCACAGCTCTGCCCTCAGTGCACCTACAAGTTACCATTTTCACACAAAAATGCAGATTCTGTAAAAAATAGTTCAAACGGTAATGTCAGTTCTTATTTGAATACCTACCCTCAACACGTTATTTTCTTTGACATTTTCATTTTCATTTTCTTGTGTGTCATCTTGGTTTTCCTTGGCTGTATATGTGTGATGCATAGTGTAGCCACTAGCCAACTGATACATTTCCCATCTGCTGATCTTGCTCTTTGTACAAATTTGTATAAGAGCAAATTATGTAAATTTGTTGTACATAATTTGAGCATTTGTAGGGACAGGCTGACAAGCTTAATTTATGTTAAGCATTGTTGATCGGATGCTGCCAGCCCATTTCGCGAGTTGACGTCACAGATTGTGGTAGTGTTGGTCTGGAGCTATGAGGTTGTTGAATGTTGATGTCTCCGGGGAACAAGAGAATTAACATCCAAGTTAAGCACGCCCATTTGCCCATTAAAGCTGGACAAGGTCTGTCCCACTCAACTGACTACAACCTGTCTGAGGCTGCTCCCACCAACCGCAGACCATCCCCATCAGGACAGGAGTCTCAAATATCGAGCGCTGGAGTGACTCAAACCCGGGCTCTCACTACGTCCTGGAATCCAAGGCTCTACCAGCTGAGCTTTGGAATGGACAAAGTCCACAATGTACCGGATAAAACGCATTGCGATGATTTGCCGGACTCGGAGGATATCACTGCATACTGCATAGCCCAGCTGCTCGACCTTTGCTTTGGTGCCCTTAGTGTTTCATTCTGTTGGATGTTTGCTAACTCATAAGGTTGAATAATTGATTTGCATGCGCTGTTGTGATTTCATTGGAGTATAAACCATAACATCACGCACACCAAAACGTGGGTTTGTAGCTTTGCTGAATGTTACAGCTGCAACATGAAGATCAACTGAGCATTTTTCCTCACGCATTGTCCCTGACCACAGTTTGTTATCATCCGACAGGTTCTACTATCAGGACTCTGGTCAGAAAGTGTCCACCAAGTGTATCCGCGTGTCTTCGGACGCCACCTCTCAGGATGTCATAGCGACCCTGATTGAGAAGTTCCGGCCCGACATGAGGATGCTGTCCACGCCGCGATTCGCCCTCTACGAGATCCACGAGAGCGGAGGTGGGTCGGAGAGGAGGGAGGGAGGGGTGCCGGGAGGGAGGAGAGGCAGAGTGGGAGAGGGAGGTGGCTGGAGGGGCTTTGGGGTGTGCTAAGTGTGCTGTCAGGTTTTTAAACGCTGTGTGCTTTAAAGGTTCTGTGCATCTTTTAGTTTATGAAACTGATGACGGGGAAAGTTTTGCTAGTAGAAAACAAAAACCAAAGGATTGACAACTCATGGACTGAAAGGAAATTTACGATTAGCTTCAAGTGATGTTATGAAGAAAGTTCGCGAGTTTGAAGTTAAACCCTCGTGTCATCACTTATAGACAGTCCCATATTCTGTTACGGCTAACACAGCACCTCGTTTCCTGAGTCCTGTGAGTCTGTTCGAACAGCTCCGGTGACTGTGGAATTACAGCCAGCATCAGCTGCACCGCCGTCTCATTTATCTGATATCATGGGGCTCAACCCGGCGCTCAGAGGGCTTGAGATTGGCATCTCCGTTGATGACGGGATATGAACATAGTCGCTCAGCTAATATTATGCTCTATTCCTGATTTCCCGATTACTTGTGGGTTCTCATTGTATAGGCTGGTGTAGCTATATTATATTCGTATTAGTTTTCCTTTTTCTGTAGCTTCACTGTCTTCTTTGTACGAACAATATTTCTTTGCGATGCACGGAACGACGCCAAATTGACGTTCGCATAGGATGATGTCTTAATATAGATAGTAGGATATCTTGCCATTTCACTCTGACTTAATCGTTTTTATTCTTTTTTCTTGTCGTAGGTAAATGCTCGTATTCCAGACAAGTAACAATTTTGATATTATTGCAGTCTGCCAAAATTTTCAGTTAAGTACACACTACACACATTAATAAGGAGCTGTCAGTTACATGTATCGCAATGTTAGTCTTTTTTAGGTAGTCTTTTGTGAGGCATTAGGCACGTTAGCCTTGCATAGCCTCTTGTCAATCTGAAATGAGCCAGATGCAACCCTGAAACTCAACTACGAAGATAGGAACACATAGCAATAAAGCCATAACTATGTATACATTGCATATTTTTATTGGTTATTGAAGTCTGCCCCGCTGTAGTTTTTTATCTTGCTCAAATTTAGTTGCAGCTTCTCGCTACTCTGTAGACTGACGCCAGCGTCACGTCTCTGTCAGTTTATCATGGCTCGTTCTTTGGTGCCCGTTTCGCTGACCGACTACACGCTGTTATCTGGTCTGTTGATCAGTTACATGGCACTCCGCCAGTAAATGCTGGTGTTACATATGTTGCTCGTGGACATCCCGACAGAGCATATAAAGCAAGCAAGAATGACTCGTGTCAGTGTGCGCTGACATTTTCGTGGCCGATACATTTTTTATGTGAGAAACTTCATCAAAAAGCTTCGTCACTGTCGTGCCGCTGTATTTTCTGCTATCTAAAATTTATGATTATTGAAAATTATAGCAATTTTGCGGGCTCATTGCTCAAGCACCACAGAGTTACCATAGATGACGATATTTTGCTGCGATCTGGCCGATAGTACATATTTATATTCCATTCATCACTGTGTCTGCACGCCACCTAGCTGCGCCAGGTCGGGGCTGCGACGCTGTCAGAGATGTCCTCGGCTAACAGTTGTCTGTTTTGAGACGCGACTAAGTATTAGAACGCTCTACAGGTGTGTTACCGGGAACTTCCGACCATTGTGACACCTTCCATTGCCCTATATCTCGGGTTTGTGGACGTATGTATGTACCGACAGGGGCGGTGGGCGGGGAGCTCGTATTGCAGAGCTCTGGTCAGTCCAGCAGCCAGGAATTTAGTATGTAGATATTCGCTGTTCAGAGCAGTTCAGTCAGTTGTTGCAGAGCTGTCCACAGTATCCAGTGTAGTGTTTGTATCTTTAAAGAGTCCATTTAAACATGTTCATATTAATTGGAGAAGTTAGATAGCTAACGAGGTGGAAGTTTGGAACAATTCGAGTATTGGACCGCGAATGCATTGCGTTTGATTGGCTTAACGAATGTTTCAACGCAATTACTCTCCCATGACAGGCTTATGTACGCTCTTATACAACGTTTAATTTGCGCCCGTGATGTATGATATTTGTTTATTGACAGTCAATTGAGTATATGTTAACCCTGTACCATGGCATATCCCCCGTTCCAACACTATCCGTCAACACGTTTGGCTGCGACCAGCATTGCGTCACGTACTGGTATGACAGTGTGACAATAGCAGCAGATGTCAGTGTGCTGGCACGCAGAAGTATTCGCCGTCGTGTTTGGTATGCTAAGTATGCTCGCTGAGACGGAGTACCATACTCTGATGTGGAAGCTACCAGTATACCACCATCCCTCCTTAAACACCTCATTACCCAGTAAGTGTCACCATTCACCGCTACTAACGACACTGACTGGCCGTGTTTTGTCCCAGCAGAGGAGCGAGAGCTGTCGCCCGACGAGCGTCCTCTGCACGTGCAACTCAACTGGCACCAGGACGACCGCGAGGGGCGCTTCCTGCTGCGGAACCTCAACGAAAAACGCTGGGTGAGCGAGCCGGGCACGCTTGGCGCTGGGGATTGGGTGGGTGGGTGACTTGAGAGTGCAAGCTATACAATTATTGCGTGTACTGTGTTGTTATTGCAATATTCACTGCGATTTTATATCCGCGATACACTTTAACGTAATACAGTTCGTGTTTTAGAGTGCGTATTCGTTTGAAGTCGATTTAATGGCTAACGATGCGCTGTTTTCAGTCATTGCGAGCACCCGGCGAATCAACACTAGACGAAGGCAACTTCAAACGCAAACTCAGTAAACGAGAGAAGAAAGACCTGAAAAAGAAGGGCAAACTTCACAAGATTAAGAGCATCAATGATCACGATTCAAGCGTGGCAGAAAAGCTATATACAGGTAAAGTAGAAACAATCCTTCTGATGAGCAGCCCTCTACCTCAATTTGCCCTAATTTACTGTGTCGCTCCCCACTTCATTCGTCGTTTTGACACCCATCTTTGCCCTTTATAGCTTACTCGCATATTGGTTGGTGTGTCTGATACGTCGCTAGCATTATCTTTGCCAGCCCCTGTGCTTTTATATTCTATTGTCCGTAATATATATTTTTCATTATCACCATTACAATCGTCCAGAAGTGGAAACCTACCATATGACCTATCCCAGTGACCCCTCCCTTGTCTCTGTTCGAGCCTGGTGTCGTGACTTTCGTAAGACTCCTTTCTCACCAGACGTCTCGCCTGCTTACCAGTTCTCGCATCTGACTAAACCCACCAGACTACCTGCCACCGATCACCAGCGACCCCCGTATCCCGTTCCAGAGCTGCCGGAGACGAGTTTCACGCGTTCCATCAGTAACCCGGAGGCAGTGATGCGCCGCCGGCGACAGCAGAAGCTGGAGAAGAAGCTGCAGCAGTTCCGCAGCCGAGACGGAGGACCCGACACGGGCGGCACGCTCAAGGTGAGACGGACGGACGGAGAGTGAACGACGGGAAGGATTGAGTGAAGGGGGACTGTGGAAGAGGGCGGACAAACGGTGGACAGGGAGGGGTATGAGGGGTGGAGGAGAGTGGTGGGAGGTAGGGTGGTTGGAACTTTAAAGGGACTATCCCACCTTTAACATGGGGTTTGAGTTGAGATAGCCAAGTTTGCGGCGAGGTTCAGAAACCACTATCTATCTAGGTTGCAACCCCCGCGGCCTCTTGGTGTTGAAGAAATTCGTTCCCTTCATTTGAAAATGGGCCTTGCGCAAGGCCCTATCTTCAACATGGAGCGACCGTTAGTGTGACGTCACCTCGTTTAGTCATTCTGATTTAAATGGGTTTGTTCGTTGAAAAATCGCTTAAAACTTGGTCTGAACTTTGTTGTGGTGCCTACAGAGTAAAAAGAATCAGCTTTATGACAGTAATGTGGCCTGGGGAAGGAGGTAATTTTGGGCTGTGACGTCACATATTGGAAAGTTTGTGTTTGGAATATGGGAAGCCTAAGATGTTTAATGAAAATAAATGCCAGAACCGTGTTCCTGGTCATCCAAGCTATAAAGTCGGGCACAATTTAACTGGTTTTAACAACATTTTAGAAGGTGGGATAGTTCCTTTAACCTGATACGAAAAAAAGCTGATACGACACCCAACCCTCCCCTGCCCTGTCTCTCACCGCGTGCTGACCCGTCCCTCCCTCCCCTTTCCTGACAGATTTACGGAGAGAGCCTGTGCAGCGACGTTCCATACAAGACGCTGCTGTTGTCTGTGACCGATACAGCCGCTGCCGTGGTGCAGGAGATGCTCCAAAAGTACGGCAGGTACCGAGAGGATCCCAACAACTACTGTCTCGTCCAGGTCAGTGGCTCACAGCTGAACAGCCGGTACAGGCGGGGAGCACAGGTGTGGTGCGGTATTAAAAGCGTGTCTCGGTATCGATCGATAGATTTTCAGAAGAGATTTCATCATTTCGGTATTGTGTTCGGTACGACGCTTGATGCGGACCTGGCTCACACTGAGACATGTTATTTGGTACTTCTCATAAAACTTGGTATGTTCCGTTTGGCATTGCGTGCTTTTTTTAAGTTGAGGAATGAGGATGCGCGGGACCTCTGGGCTGGAGTTACAAACTTGAAGTTACAACCTTCAAGAAACGGCATGAAGTTACAAACTAAAAAAAAAAAAACGGCATGAAGTTACAAACTTCATGCCGTTTTTTAAGCAGCATAATTTTATAATGCATTCACCTAAACTGGTGGTTTAGTTTAGTGCGAATATCGTAATTGTTTCTCATGAAATATTTCATTGGAAACGCTTTCTCATTTTTCTTATTCTCTCATGCTTATGAGGCCTCTCGAGCGCAATCATATGTTCAGTATTATGTACCGATGGAGGAAAACCACCTCGGAGTTATCGTTCATCAAGTATTCCCGGCGATCTCGACGCTGACCGTGCCCTGTACACTCGTCCTCCCCAGGTGGTGACCCAGGAGCCGCAGCAGGAGACCCGCGAGTACCGGGCGCCCACGGGACCTTACAACGAGTACATTCTGGAGGACGATGAGTGTCCACTGGCCATCCTGATCAACCACCCTCCCACGCCCGGTCAGTACTGCTTGGGTCACGGAGGGCACGCTAAGGGTCACACCGGCTCAGTAAGGTCAACCACCCGCCCACGCCCGGTCAGTCTGCTGCTGGGGTCACGGAGGGCACGCTAAGGGTCACACCGGCTCAGTAAGGTCAACCACCCGCCCACGCCCGGTCAGTACTGCTGGGGTCAAGGAGGGCACGCTAAGGGTCACACAGGTCATATTGGCGTCTGCATGGGCACACTGACTTAGGAAGGGCACACATAGATCGCGAAGGCCACGCAGAGGTCATGCAAATAATGATTTTGCAAAGTCTGCACTTCAACGAAAAATTCAAATTTTCACGAATACGGCACCGTTCTGAAAGTCATACCGATGTTACAAGGGTTTATTGGTATCAGGAAGAACCTCAGCGGTCAATAGGGTTACACTGGTCCAGGAAGATTTCGTTGTAGCGGATATTACACGGGATGAGAGGGTGATAATTAAAATGGTAACACGCCATTCAGCTTGCGGCGATTTTATGTAGGTCGATGATGTGCTCCGGTCGGTCTTGATGCTTGCTGGTGTTACTAGCTCATCTAATATAGCCATGGTTTGGAGAAAGCTCAGTAGCCGAGGCCGTGAGGCTCATATTGGCTTCAGCTGCGGCGCCGACTGGCTCGCATTGCGTCACGGAAACCTTATGAATCGGTCGCTCCAAAGTAATCTCGCCAGGACGAGTCGATGGTTTCTGGAAGTCAGACCCGCTGTTGCCGGCGTGCGTTTCGCGCTGCAGAAGTGAGCAACTTCGAACGTTCTTAGATGCTGGTGTGATTGTTAGTCTTCTCCTCTGTGTGTTGATTCGCTGATTGGCGGAGTTGCGCACAAGTTTATTGGGTAAGTTGAGAGACCTGTTGGGAGTATGCGTCGGTTCGGTCACGTGCGTCTGTCCTGCTCCTTGCCGCCTCGGTGGCTGGTGTATGTAATGCTTGGTTTGGAGTCGACGTTGGGTTGACTGCGGTAGTGGTGGTATGTAAATTTGCACGCTGTATGATCTTTTAATGACTGGGCACATGCGCGTGCTTCAGTTGTCGACAGCGCTCAGTTCAGCTATCGAAAGTGGATTCTCCAGGACACGTCTATGTAGTGTTCGGGTGAAATGTCAACGAGAAGGGCACCCTAAGATTCAGATGCTGCATTCTGCAACTTGTTACATGCTGTTGGAGGAGCGGTAAGCATTGCTTATGTAGAGCTTAAGAAAGGAAGTCCGTCGTCTAATCTGCAGGTGATTGTCGTCGATTGGTGAAGCCATCTTGACCTTTACGACTCACCCACGTCATAGGCTTAAACAGTTGTGGGAGCTCCTATTGATTCTGTACTCGCATAAGAAATTTGGAAAGTTGGAACATGAACATAGTTTTTGGTCGGAAATGACTTGTAGGCGAAGCGTGGGCTCACGTATGATCGCTAACGGGCATGAAATGCCCGCCAGTTGGGCACAAATTGAGCGGAAATACGTTTTTCCCGTCAGCCTTCGGAGTTAGTTGAGCACTGATCGTTCTGTACGCCCACAACATCTCCTATTGTCTGTTACATAATCTTGGACCGTGTAGTGAATTCGCATATTGTTTTCATCAGGTTTTATGAATTAATTACCTGCAACCCACAGATGCCTCCCGACGAGGCAACAAACAGTTCGTTTCTTTACGTCATAACGGATGTATGAAACATTCCAATGCAGCTCGATACTACATCGGTATTTCATTGAACATCCGCCGCCACTGCTGCATAACAACGCTTTATTTTCAACGCTTACATAATCACTGAAATACCGCACCGTTTCGTTCACGGGCTCTATGTGATACTGTTCAGCGTGGGTGACGTTTTGAAATAAATCCGCGTTCGAATCGGATCCAACGTGCCCGGGAGAGCGAAAACAATCCGACAGAAGCGGACGTGCCGTGTAGCGCTGGTGATGGGAATGTATTGATGTTGAGGCTAACTCAATATGCAGTGTGTGATGCGTTTGCTGGTACAAGTATCGCCGAAATGAGTCCACCTACATTCGGTCTGTCTCTCCGATTCGTATCTAGTCTAGCCTTTAGTTGGCCCGCACGGTCTCCACTGGCTTCCACAGTCATACCATTCGTATCCATGTAGTGGTTGGGTCGCCGCGCTGTGCCACTCCCCTCGGTACGTGACTCTCTGTGAACGCCGCAGACTACGTGACTGACCACCGCGGACCGGGGCGTTTTGGTCCCCTCCCACCAGTGGTGTGCAGGGGCGAATAGGCTACTGGCGCGCTGGTTAGGGATATGAGTGGTTCCTGATAGTATCAGATAAAGACACGCGTAAGCTGTCATAGTATTGTGTAGTTTGTATAAGGATTTACTATCAGCTACCTCCGCTGATCCTGCGATTCGCTACCGTATCGCTTCTGTCGTGATTGAATAGTGAGTTGCAGGGCTTGTCCGCCGATGGTCCGGCGTCCCACTTATCGGTTTTGCAGTACGCCCCCCGCCCTTATGGGACGACAGGCAGGAATGTGCAGGCAGGCGCGTTGGAATGTGCTCAACGTCCCCTAGTGCTCCACTGCAGACCGTTCCAACTGTGACCGACCACTGCCTCTGACGCATTCTCGAGTTCACGTATAATGTAGAGTAGATTCGTAATCATGGAGTCGATGCCGGCCATCAGTTCTCGCCTTTTTTGGTCTACTTGGACGAAGCCAACTGCAGCCTGAGGGAGGAGAGGGAGAGGCACTGCATGCAGGGCTTGAACTATGTAGTAGGAGAGATATGCGGGAATCTCTTAGTGGCTGTGGCCAGACAGGACGGTAGTGTTTGGCAGTAATTCGTGTGTAATTGATAGGTGCTACTAAATGCTGATGGCGATTCAAGTGACATCCTTGAGGTTGGGGTCGATGGATTTGATGAGGGTGAATCGATGCATTGTGACCTTGATGAATAATGTCATTTTTAGTCAAGTTCCCACAATATCTGACACCGTCCAGTTTTCCTTAATCGTTTTACGTTGTCAATTAAGCAGACGAAATCCCTTTATTAGCTCGTCGATCGGGAACATTTGCGGATGTTCTCAAATGGACTGAACCCGGAGCAGTTGCACAAGATGCGAAACCTCGTTTGCGAAAAATCTCTAGCTTGTCACCGATCGGGAAACTAGCCGTGAATCGCACTGGGTTCTGGTTTACAGTAGTTTCGATCTGTGTAAGCTGTGGGACGCTGACTGACGTTGTCCGCAAGCCCGAAGCGACCTCTGTTTGGATTCGGGCGCGGTCGTTTTGAACGTTTGCCATCTCGGATCTCGGTATTCTTAGACCCGCCTTTCTATTCCTACCACGTCATTCCTACGCAATCCGACTCCTGTCTCCTGGACCACTGCCACATATTCGTGTTGTAATTGCGAGCGGCCGTCTGCAGCCTACCCCCCTCTGCTCGGAGGGGGGGGGGGGACACGGGATGGCACGGGTGCACCAGCCGTGAGGTGGGGGTCGGGGGAGACCCAGCGGCGCCGGCGCACCGGCCGCCCCTGTGGCCAGCGCCGTAGCCAGAGGAGCACAGTCGGTGCATCCCACTCGTAGTGTTGTAGTCAGCGAGTGATCTGGCGTAGCCGCCATGGTGTACGGTGAGTGAATGGGGGTTGAGGCAGCCGCGCATTGGTTAGATGCTTTGTCGGGTGTGCCCGCATATGTTTAAGAGGACTGTAACACCTAATGGTTTCCTCGTCAAGGGTTGCTGGGTTATGGGGAGGAGCCGGGAGGTGAGGGGGTTTGTTGCTTAGGAGATGGTAGGTGTTTGTGGTGTAGTCGTGCGTTGGGTAAGAGCTGGATTGGCGTGCTATTTTCGTCGCAAAATCGGTGCACTTCAACTGAGAATGGATTAACAGCCAACACTTAACTTTTTGACGCAGACAGAGCGTCAAAACGCAGACACGCAGACAGAGCGCAATCCTCGCCAAGCTGGCGAGGATTGCAGACAGAGCAAATCCTCGGCAACCATGTTCAGAGCTGTGTTCCATCCTAAACTAGTTTTAGGTCACGCTTTGCGGCAGGATGACAAACCGCAGTCAGATCTTGTGTGCGAGCTGCTTGTGTCCTTGCTGACGTTTTGTCTGCCTCGGACGGCAAGTTCACCTTTTCATTCGCCGTTCCGGTAACTAAAGAATCGAGCTCACTCTGCCCCCCCCCCCCGCTGTCAGAGTGCCCATCGCCAGCTTTTTTCGAGAGGGGATCGGTCACTTGCCTTTGGGGGCATCACGCATCAGAGACGGAGTTGTATCACATTTTTGTGCATTTTCCTAGTTAATTGAAGCATGATATTTCGCCCTTTTTTTGTTGAAGAAATTGGTTTTATATTTTATTGCCGCTGCAATTCAAACAGTTCAAGTGTTCTGTGTTTGTTTGCGACATCTGGCTCATTTTTGTAACTCATTCTGGCAATATGAAGAATCTGCCCTACATCCCCCTAAATTAGGGGCTTGTTTTGGTTTTTTCCCTAGCTTCTTTTTCCTTTCCTCTCTGCCTAGGACCGCGAATTACTTTAAGGTAGCCTAGCTTGATGTCTTGGGTGTAACGCAATACATAAGATATTACAGATAGCTCCAATAGGTTACCATTTGTGCATGTCAGACGTCAACATTACACCGAGTAATCTCATTTTCGATCTTACGTTCATCCAATTAGATCCGTTTTTGCGAACACCTAGGCACGGCGGTGACGACCGGCAGCAGTTGGATCCAGTAGATTGGCAGTTGCAGATAATATGACACTAGCGCCTCTGCTCTGAGACGAACGAACAGCTCCTCTGACGGAAATCGACCCGACCCGCTTCGGTCGCCGCTGTCGTCGCACTGTCGTAGCACACGGCGACGCTGTCGTGTTTACCGTCTAGTGCGGTAACTTGGCTAGGAAGCACTGATTTAGTTGGTCCGGTGTGCTCATTATGTGCCAGTAGGTATGGTATGGTTGGTATCTCCGTCTCTACCCGTTCCTATTCTGCCTTGTTCTGCCAGCTC